TATTTGGACCAAATTTATTTGTTAATATTAACGCAATATTTGGCGGTTTCTGTAAATGGTCGTTTTATAAAACAGCCATTTTGAGTTGCAACCTTACATGAAGTGTTGTAACTCTTCAGTATAACCGAACCTTTTGGCTATTAATACATGAACTCTTCCTCAGATTTTCCTTACGAAAATTCTGATTTCTCCTTCTTCTTTCTGCATTGTTTTAACAGAAAAGAAAGCAGTAAGTGTGATTTACTACTGTTCTTTGCGTTCGTTGCCACTGGGATTTGAATTACCGCTACACCAGTGAGGTTAGCCATTCTATTCTGGGAGGAAATAATCCTAAACCTGGGGTACTAGGAGGGGATTAAGTTCCTTAAGGAAACACTGTGAATTCAGTGGGCTCGAAATCATTCTGTTCTTCTACATTTCTGGTTTTATATCGTTTCTTTATTTTGTATATATTTTCGAATACAGATTACTAACAATATCAATGTGAAAATTAGGGGTGTTAATAAATATTTAAAACCGACTAAATCGACCTAACCGTACCATATCGAACCGATTTTGATGTTTCTTTTAATAAAATCGTAGGTTTTTATATAATTCTATAACTCTACCGATAATTAGGGTATGTTTATGAAAATAAATCAAAAAAATATCGAACTGTACCGAATAAATTTACAATGTAAATAATATATTTATATATTAAGTTTAAAAATAATAAAGCATTAAAAAATTTCTTATGCTTTAGAATTATGATACAGTTACAAGCCAACAAGTAGTTAAACTCAAAGTCATAATTCTTAAACCTATTATGCTACTCCTATTGAAACTAAATTATCTCCAGCATGTTCACTAGCAAGACAAAAGGTATTGTAGCGATTATGAGTAGCAACTACAATGTATATGTTTCATTTCGCATGATTTTGATTTATCCTTTTGAATATTTGATCTTCTGTCACGATCCGGATTTCCCACCCTCGGGAGTCGTGATGGCGCCTACTAATGGGAGCTAGGCAAGCCAAATTTAATTACTTTTTCATTAATAGCATAATTCCTTTTAACAATTATCGGCAATAATACAAAAGCAACGAAATTAAATAATAAGCGAAAGTCTCAATATTATAGAAAACTGAATAGAATTGCGGAAAATTTCAACCAAGGCCTCTACCCATGACTGGTGTTACAGTTTCACAGACGGTCTAAGAATACTACACATTAAGGTCTGAAAGAAATAAACTCAACACTGTCTCCAGAATTACATGAAAGAAATAGGAATATAGATGAAGGGAGACGCCAGGGCCTGCGAACGCCTGCAAGGCTACCTCGGGTCTCACTGGACTGAAAGTCTGCTCCCACTCTATTGCTACTGCTGTCTGAAGCCTGGGATTTGTGCAAAATAGCACAACGTGTAGTATCAGTACAACCGACCCCATGTGCTAGTAAGTGCCTAGCCTAACCCCGGCGAAGTAGTGACGAGGCTAGGACCAGACCACCAAATAAACCTGTGCAGATATATATATACAAGTACAACGGAAAAGTAGCAAGAAAATAACAATTTAAGCTGGGGAAGGGAGCATGCTTCAGGGGCAACAGTTAGAAATAGAATTTCAGGAATAATAAAGCGTACATCTACAATTTAACTTCTAGCAGTAAATGAAGAGATAAGGCAACTTTCATATTCAACTCATCTTGTTGCAGGCGTGCAACCCGATCCCATTTTTCAATATCTCGTGGTAGGCGTACCACCCGCTCCCATTTCAATATCACTTGTGGTAGGCGTACCACCCGCTCCCATTTCAATAAATCTACAGTTCCTCTAAAAGAAAATTTACTCTAACAAACGCAACAATTAATACGAGTTCATAAGACAACAAATACACAAAATTTATGATTTACTAAGGAAAATAAATAATGACAAATAGCAATTAATTATGAATTATAAGGGGGCAATTGGGCAATTTAGTAATTAATATGTTGAATGTCATGTAGCAATTAGGTCACATAATCATGTAGCAATTAAGGCATAAATTCAAGATATAACGTTGCGCAAGGACACCTTGGTTCAATAATAACAAGTAACACGATAAAGGGAAATGCCAACGTGAAGAATCACAGAAATAATGGAATGAGATAAGTAATGCATTTCAACTGATAACAACAAGAAATCATAGCAAACTGCAACAAGTGCACGGCATCACCCTTCGTGCTTTTACTCTCATCCTCACCAAGCAATGATATCATAAAAATGTGCACGGCATCACCCGTCGTGCTCTTACTCTCTTTCCTCACATATAATCAATAGAATTGGCACGGAATGGTACATCGTGCGGCACAACATCACCCTTCGTGCTTTACTCTCTTTTCCTCACAATAAGCAAATAGCGCACGGCATCACCCTTCGTGCTTTACACTCTTTCCTCACAAGAAAACAAATAATGCACAGCATCACCCTTCGTGCTTTACACTCTTTCCTCACAAGAAAACAAACAATGCACGGCATCACCCTTCGTGCTTTAACACTCTTCCTCACCCAATCAACAATCACAAACAAGGGCAAGGGGATAAATAAACAATAATGAAAATCCTGGCAAGGGAACACAACAAACAATTAAAACCCGGCAAGGGTACAACATCAATAATCACAACGTCCTGGCAAGAGAAAATATCAATAACTCTTTCTCTTTCTTGCACTTTCATCTCATAGTTCACATTATCACTCGAGCCAATGCTCCAAAGATTTACTTATCTCATATACCTTCACAATTTGTATTTCAACTCGAACCAACGCTCCACGAAGTTCAAAGATCACAATTTCTTTCACAAGATCTTTACAACATATAGAAGTCATCAATTAAACATGGAAGATATAACAAATCCCAACTATTCGCAAAATAAGGACTCACGGTCATGCTAGACACCAATGTATAAATACTCGTCACCATGCCTATACATCGTACCCGACAATTAGCAAGTAGCAAATAAGACTCAACTCCTATTCCCTCAAGCTAGGGTTAAACCAAACACTTACCTCGATGCTTTGAACTCAACTCAAGTCTCAACTATAGCTTTACCCCGTGATTCCACCTCCAATCCGCTCGAATCTAGTCACAAGTCACTTAATTACTTTAATAAACACTAAATGAATCAATTTGAATGCAAAAAAATAAATTTTCCAAAGTTTTTCCCAAAAATTCCAAAATCGCCCCCGGGCCCACGTGGTCAAAACCCGAGGTTCGAACCAAAACCCGGTTACCCATTCCCCCACGAACCCAAATATATGATTTGTTTTGAAATCGGACCTCAAATTGATGTCCAAATCCCCAATTTTTGTAAAAAACCTAGGTTCTACCCAAAACTCTCAATTTCACCCATGAAAATCATTGATTTTAAGTGAAAAACATGTTAAATGATGTTAATGATTGAAAGAATTGAGTAAAAATCGACTTACAAATGATTTGGAATGAAACTTGTTCTTGAAAAATCGCCTAAGGAGTTTGGATTTTGAAAGAATGGTGAAAAATGGTGAAAATTCGACTAAGTATGGAAAAATGCAGGCTGCAGATATGGGAATTGCGAACTAGGGTTCGCAATTGCGAACCCCGACCAATTATGGGAATTGCGAACAATAGTTCGCATTTGCGAACTCAGACCCAGCTGGAAGACTTCGCATTTGCGACAATTCCATCGCTTTTGCGAAATCTTCTATAAACTTTATTCTTGAATTCTAGCTTAGTTAATATTTTTCCACTTGTGTGATTTTTTTTTTTTATATTTGCTTAATTACTTTCACGCTGTTGTAGAATAGTTGATGGATCTATACTCTAGTCATCTTTCATGTTTTCTTAATTACTTTTTATATAGTAAAAATATTTAGAGAGTTTAGCTAAGTCCTACGCTTTTATTACGTTTTACTTCTAATAGTGACTTTTATATGAAATTTTTAAAAAATACGAAAATTAACCGAATCGTACCGATACCGAAGAGAAACCGACATGATTGGGACAATTTCAAAAAATCTAATTTTGGTTATACATTGTAGAATAACCGAAAAATTAGTATGATACAAAATTTATAAAATAACCGGCTAAACCGAACCATTGACACCGTATTCAAAATGAATCTAAGATATATAATTTTGGGATGCCACCTTCTGACGTTTAAATTTGAACGAATGAAGTTGCATTTTTTTTCATTTGTTCTTTTGTAATGACAAGACGATGTAAATGTGTCTAACTAGTGATGATTAATGAAGGATGTGGTTTACGCGCTTGACTAATAAATTGGCAACTACATGTTTTTATGAGATATTGATACAACTGTTATATATCCTGCGTAGAGTCATAACAATAGTTTGGGATTGAGACATTGTTGTATAATTGGTTGACATAGATAGATTTAGAAATCTGTTCTTGGTGTCTATATGTTGCTTAGCTTTCAGAAGCTAGCTATTTAGATGTTAGTTGTTGATACGAGTAATGATGCTCTATAATGTCAATGTTTTCATCAAATTTTTTTTTCTTATAATTAGATTTTTGTAAAAATTATGGACTCCCGGCCAACTTTCTTCCCTTCTCCTACATTCGCTAGCCATCCTCAGTGCCAAACTAATGAAATCTAATTCAAAATTCAGTCAACTCGCTAAAAAGAACGAGTAATACATTACTCTTTTGTCCCCAATATAAAGCTAAAAAAAAATTAACTAAACGAGGAAGAACGACAGTAAGAGTAGCTAGTAATTATTGGATCACCATTTTTGACAAATTAAAGTACTTGAAACAGACTGAAAGATAAAATAAACAACTGACATGTTTTCCATAGATAGTCAACATCACCCATTACACTCGACACTCGACACAAAAGGAAAAGAAAAGGACAACAGAAGCAATACTAAAACAACAAATAAAGGACTCAAAACATAAACCCTAAACCAAAGCCAAATGTCAACAAACATAAGACAACAATAACGAAACAGCAAAGCCTCCAACAATGACATGGGCCCTCAAAACCTAAAGCCTAAGCTCTAAGTCAAGCTCCTCAACCTCCTCTTCAACCTTCTTCTTTCCATTAGTCTTATCAGCAGCAATAATAGTAGTAATGGTACTCCCAGTGGATGAATGTTTTGATTCTTCACGCCTAGCAGCCACACCTTTAAAATAATTCAAGCGACTCTGAAATAAAGCCAGTTGATTTTCAAGGTGGGCGATAGGGTCCGGGCCCTGAACAAGCAAAGGAGTCGCAGGTGCAGGTGAAGCAGCAAGAGGCACTTGCACCATCGGCTGCGATCGAATAATTGACCGTGGCCTGCCACGAGGGCGGATGACAGGGGCCGGGGCTGGGGCCTGAACGAGCAAAGGAGTGGCGGGTGTAGGTGCAGCAGCAAGAGGTGCCTGCACCATCGGCTGCGGTAGAATAATTGACCGTGGCCTGCAACGAGGGCGGGCGACAGGGGCAGGGGCTGGGGCCTGAGCAAGCAAAGGAGCGGCAGGTGCAGGTGCAACAACAAGAGGTAGGGCTGAGGCCTGAGCAAGCAAAGGAGTGGCGGGTGCAGGTGCAGCAGCAAGAGGCACCTGCATCATCGGCTGCGCTTGAATAATTGACTGTGACCTACCACGATGGGGGACGACAGGGGCCGGTGCCGGGGCCGGTGCCTGAGCAAGCAAAGAAGTAGCGACTGCAGGTGCAGGTGCAACAGCAAGAGGCTCCTGCACCATCGGCTGCGGTTCAAAGAACGTTCGCGGCTTGCCCCGACCACCGTTGCGTACGGTGATAGACTTGTTGTTACGAGCAATGAAACGGTTAAGGTCGGGGAGATAATGAGGTGGCAAGAGAAACTTGTGGTGGTGACCTTTTACCCAAGTCCCTTGAACCTTATGAAGGTGTTGGTGTCCCGCTAAGGCCTGGCATGACGAGAAGAGTTTACGGCAATTATCGCAGCGGTAAACTACTATCGGCCCTTGGCTGGTTGTGTTGTTATTGGGCTCATGAGCCATTATGCTTATCAGTGGCTGTAATTTCTTGGGAGATAAAAAAGAAGTTTTTTTTAGAACAAGAAATTTTTTTCTTTGCTTTGATGATTTAGTGAGGAAGAAGTAAAGAAATGCAAACGAAATATATAGGGTGAGAATGCATGATAAGATGGTAACAATATTTGCATTCTCTGAAACATGGTAAGTAGTTAGATGTATTAATAAGGTTAAGGAATAATATTAGAATCGTTTTTCAAAAACAACTCATTTCTTACATGTTTTAGATTTTGTAAACCTGTTAGGCAATGATTTTTTTTTCTTTTGCTATTAGGCTCGTAAACTTAAGCAAAAAAGTATCTGAAAGAAAGAACAAAATTCAAAAACATGAAAATTTTAATGTTGATATCAGATTTCTGTGAAAATTTTAATATTGATATCAGATTTCTTACTTTCTTCACACACTTTTCATGTTTGACCATTATTCTTATTCTTTTTTCTGAGGGGAAGTTGACGTGTATCATATCTGTATATAGGTCAGCTAGTAACGGTCCTCTTTTTTTTTTTTTTTTTTTTTTTTCTTTTTTCGTTAAGGAAAATAGCATTTAACTTCATCTTCTTATATTTATCCCTTAGAGTATGAATTTAAATGGAACTATAGAACAACCAATGCCAGATAAGCACATCTTGGACATGGGGACAGAAATAACCTTAAAAGTTAAAATGATTGACTGGTTGTAAGTGTAAATTCTTAAGATTGCACAATCTCAACTTTGGAATTTGGATCTTTTTGTATGTGATTATTCGTCTAAAAATATGTTAGTATCTGTTTGTAAAGGAGTGTTCACAGTTAGTTAAATTTGATTTTCACCGGAAAAAAAATCAAATCGATCAACTAAATATATGAGTTTGTTATATACAGAAACCAAAAGGAATCAATTGAAAGTAACATAATGAATTGAATGAAAGTAAAAAAGTAGAGATTGTGAACGCACATTTTGGTTTACATGTAATGTTACTAACAATGAGAAATGATACAATTATTAATCTAGCTTGATGAAAATGAACTTGTGATGCGTTGACTTCATCCTTCAATCTGTCCAATATTAGTTGAAAAATTCATGAATTTGTACGGGTCAAAATCTGACCCTGATGACCGGAGGCGGTAAGAGTTTGACCCCGTCATGGCCGTGCCACGAGGCGTACACTACTAGAATCCCTGTAAAAAGCGACCAAAGATTAGCGACCAAATTTGGTCTGTCAAAAAAAGCGACCAAAGTTGGTCGCCAAACTGCCGAAAATAATAAAAAAAATATTTGAAATACTTTAGCGACCAAAGTTGGACGCTATTTGGTCGCAAATTTAGTCAAACTGTTGACTGGACTGGTCAGACTTGTTTGGTCAAAGATATACTGAGATTAGCGACCAATGTTGGTCGCTTAAGCGGGACCCACATAAATTTTTTTAATAATTTTATTATTATTTTATAAAACTTATAAAATATAAATATATATAATTTAAAACTTGCGACCAAAGTTGGTTGCTAAATGAAGGATAAGTTGATAGCGACCAACATTGGTCGCTAAAGCGGGACCCAGTTATTATATTTATTTAATAAATATATATTTATTTAAAATAAATTATAAAATATAAATAAATATAATTCAAAAGTTAGCGACCAAAGTTGGTCGCTTAACCAATAGAGACCAATGTTGGTCGCAAATGTGGGACTCAGTTCTAACATTTAATAATTTTTATTATTAATTTAAATATTATATAAAATATAAATAAATCTGATTAAAATTTAGTGACCAAACTTGGTCGCTAAACTTAAATTCAATGTACAGTTAGTGACCAACTTTGGTCCCTAAATTAAACTTCAATTTTACAGTTAGCGACCAAAGTTGGTACTCTATATGGTCAAAATTAAAAATCACTTTTATATTTACTATGTAAATAATATAGAGTAAATAATATAAATGTAAGTCGTTAATACTTTTGTAATACAAGGGATGAATAGTACTACGAAGTGGGCGTGTGTGTCTATATATATAATATATATATATATACTTACGCTATATTATGCACTAAGTATAAGTGTATTAGGTAATAGCGTATCGAATATAGATTCAGACAATGATTTGACTGACAAATATCACCAACATCCCATTAAGCTTGTACAGATCAGACTTGGAAGAAAGTTGAGAACAAAACTTCCTATAATCTTTGTCATCGTAGAGTCTTATGATCCCCGTTTTATGGGAACTGCCATGACCAACAGAAAACATTCCATCACCATCAACCTTGTCACTCCCAATTAAACTCCTTTTCCTCTTGGAAAATGAATTATAGAATTCCTCTATTACCTCTTCTTTTATCTACTTAGGAAATGTTTGTCACGACCCAATTCCCACTCGGTCGTGATGGAGCCTCTCGTGAAGACAAGGCCAGCTAACAGAACAATCAACACTGCTTTTGACGATTTCTTAGCATAACAGGTTTAAACCATAGATACTGATTAATTATAAGTACGGAAATAAACGTAACATAACGGGAAAAAAAACCATCCCAAACTCAGCCCGATAATCGGGGTGTCACAAGTCACGAGCTACTACAGAGTTGATGAAAATACTACAAGTCTGGAAACATAGTCTGAAGATGAATAAGATATGCAGAAGATAAGGAAGAAACGGGGCTGTGGACGTCGACAGCTACCACGTCTCTCCTAGTCCGCCTGGTCTGGAAGGAAATCACCGCTCAGGTACGAACTCAGCTGTGCCTGTCTCTGCACACATGGTGCAGGAAGTAATGTGAGTACTCTGACCCAGTGAGTAATAAAATTAAATAACGACTGAGAACATAAAATCCCACAAGGGCACAAATAATGCTATCTCAAGCAGCAACATCAGATAAACAGTAGAAGCCATTGAAATATAGGAAGAAAAATCTTTTTGAAAACAATCAATAAAACAAGTATGCTCAAGTATGGTCAGCCATTGTTACCTGACCGGTCAGCCATTGTCACCTGACCAAACGCGTATTACAGTGCCATTGTTACCACTGGTCAGTCATTGTTACCTGACTGGTCAGTCATTGTTACCTGACCAAACGCGTATAACAGTGTCATTGTTACCACTGTTCAATATTTAATCACTCTAGATGGGTACCCGCGCTCACTGTGGGTGTGCAGACTCCGGAGGGGCTCCTACAGCCCAAGCGCTATCAACAAGGCCTGAAAGCCTGAACAGTATCAATACGAGGCCTGAAAGCCTCCTCATCTCACTCATCATGCCCTCACATAAGGCCCTCGGCCTCAATCAGTCCAGAAATAGTCAACAGCCCCTCGGGCAACAGTAAAGCAATAATACTCACCTCAAACAATAGTTCAAATATCAGTTTAAAACTCCAAGTTTGAGTAAATATGGCTGAGTTCAAGAAACGGTGTAAATCACATGGACTGAGTTCAAATAATATTTCAAACAGTGAGGAAAACAGTGATGATAGTTCATAAAGAGTTCAAATAGTCGACAATAAGCCCCAAATATGGCAATAAGCCCAAATCATAGTGAAAACAACAAGTCATTGCTAATACGCGGTAAAATATCATCCGGACTGGAC